TGTAAGTATACAATTCAGTGGCATTGATTATATTCAGAAAGCTGTGTACAAAATATTACATTTAATTTTGGGGGGATTGCCACAATGTCTTCCATAGTATCCACACTTATTTTACATTCCCAGTAGTAACATAGAAGGTTCTAATTTTTCTTTATCCTCCCTAATACTTGTTATATCCCTTTTTATTATTCATTCTAATAAATGTGAAGTGCTGTTTTATTGTAGTTTTGATTTATATTTACCAGTGATTAGTGTTGAGGATCCTTTTATGTGTTTTGTTTTTGTTTTTTATTTTATTTGCTTTGAAGAAAAGTATCTTCAAGTACTTCGCTCATTTTTAAAAATAGACTTTGTCTTTTTCTTGATGAATTGTAAGGGTTTTCTATGGATGCTAGGTGTTATACCTTTATAAAGTATGTTGTTTGCAATTATTCCCTCACATTCTGTGATTTGTCTTTCACTTTCTTGAAAGTATTCTTTTGATGTATATAAATTTTTAATTTTAAAAAGTCTTAAATCAGTTTTTATTTTGTTGCCTTTGCAACATATCTCAAAGAAAATGTTGGCAAGTCTCTAAGATCACAAATATTCACCCCTATATTTTCTTTTAACGTTTTTAGAGTTTTAGCTCTAGACTTAGGGCATAAACCCATTTTGGAGTTAATATTTGTATGTAGTATAAGGAAAGAGTACAATTTCATTCTTTTGTATTCTAGTATCCATTTTTTTCCCCAGCACCATTTGTCAGAAAGACTGTCCTTTTTTCTACTGACTAACGTTAAAGATCAATTGAGGGTTTATTTCTAGGCTTCTAGTCCTATTCCAATGGTCTGTTTGTTTCTGTCTATCCATGTAGATAGTACCCCAGTGTTTTGATGATTATTGTAACTTTTCAGGAAATCTTAAATCAAAGTATTCTCCATCAGTTGGGATAATCATGTTTCTTCACTCTGTTAATATGGATTGCCTTGATTGATTTTCATATGTTAAATAACAGTTGGACATTCCTGGGGAAAATCTCAATTGATTTTGTTATATACTCATTGGATCTTCATTATTGAAAGAAACATTTGGGATAGAAATGTTTTGTAGTTTCCTGAATTTTGCAACATTGCATAGCCATTACTAGTTGAACATTCCTATTCCAAAAATTTGAAATCTGAAATTCTCCAAAATCCAAATATTTTTGAACATTATCACTCAAATTGTTGCAGTTTTCAAGACATTTTGGATTTTCAGATTAGGGATGTCCAATCTGTTAACTCTTTTAACATGCTGCTAAATTCAGTTTGTTAACATTTTATTGAGGTCATTTGCCTGTATTCTTAAGGAAGTTGGACTGAAGAATTCTTTTCTTTTTTTATCAGTACCGGGGATGAGGAATTCTTTTCTTTCAGTGTCTTTGTCTAGCTTTGGTATCGGGCTATTGCTGGTATCATGGAGTGAGCTCGGGAAGTGTTCTTTTCACTGCAGTTTTTTAGAATAGTTTAGGGATTGACATTAATTGTTCTTTTAAAGATTTGTTAGAATTTACCAATGAGGTTATATGTTCTTAGGTTGTTATTCATGAAGAGACTTTGATTAATGATGTCAGTCTCCCTACTTGTTATAATTTTATTTAGATTATTAGTTTTTCTTAGGTCAGTTTTGATAGTTGATATGTTTCTTGGAATTTATCCATTGCATTGGTTTTATTCAGTTCATCATACAGTTGTTCATAGTATTTTCTTATAATTTGTTTTATTCTGTTTATTCAGTAGTAATGCTTTTGCTTTCATTTTCTAATTTTAATAATCCAAGTCTCCCTTCACACGTCAGTCTTGCTCAGTTTTCTCAATTTTGTTAATCTAATAAAAGAAGCAACTTTTTGGTTTTGTTGACTTTTTCTTTGTCTTTACTCTTCTTTTCCTCACTTTAGATTTAGTTTTTGTTTTTTCTGTTCCTGTGTTCCTTTAGATGTATTACTGGATTTGAGATTCTGTCTTTCATTGTAGACTTTTGAAGCTGTAATTCTTTCTTAGCTGTCTTTTCAGCATACCGCATAAACGTTATATTGTTTTTATTTTCATTTGTCGTAAGGGATGCCTAGTATCTGTTGTGATGTGTATGTTGCTTAATGAGTTTTCCTTTTTTTTACCAACTTCTGATTTCGTTCTGTTGTGGTAGGAAAAGGTTCTATGATTTCAGTTTTTTAAAAACAAGATTTGTTTTGTGGCATAACATGGTATGATCTGGAAGATGTTTCATGTGCACTTGAATTTCTCATTCTGAGAGAAATGTTGAATGAAGTATATTTTTTACATAATTCTTATTTCTTATTGGTTTATAGTGATTGATTCCTTATTTGTCTATCTTCTGTCTGGTTTTTCTGCTCATTATTGAAAGCAGAACATGGAGATTTCTAGCTACTGTTATAGAACTGATTCTCCTTTCAGTTCTGTCAGTGTTTGCTTCTTAAACTTTGGGACTCTGATATTGGGTGCATAAATGTTCATAGTTGTTATGTAGCTTCTTTGTGGATTGGACCTTTTATCTCTTGTAACTTTTTTTTTAGTACTAGCGTAATCCATTTTCTCTGAAAATATGATCAGCCTCTGATCTCTGTCTGTATGGAATGTCTTTCTCCATCCTTAAACTTTCAACTTGTGAATCCAAAGTGAGTCTTTTGTAGGTAGCGTATTTATAAACCATATTTTTAAAATCCATTCTATCAATCTCTGGCTTTTGATCAGGAAACTTTAAACCATTTATGTTTAAAGTAATTACTGACAAGGAAGCATTTCTGCCGATTAGTTATTTATTTTCTGTATGTCTTATGTGCTTTTTTCTTTTGAGTTTTCTAATATTGCTTTGTTTTATATTTGGTTGTTTTTTTGGTAGCATGATATTCTGTTCTTTACTGTATATGTCCTACCTGTTTGGGATCTTACAAGTTCATTATATCAAAATGTTAAGTAATAAGCTTATAAGCAGGCAACAAAATTTGAACCTCTATGTATGTGCAGACTTGAAGTCTCCAAAATTTTTAGTGTACTACTTAAGACTCAAGGACATTATTTTCCTTTCTTGTTCAGTCCAGAACTAGAATTTTCTGATACTAAGTTCAGATTCTGGGTTTAGTTAGATAGGCAGGAGTTTTACATCAGTTATTGTGATTTTTAGGTGAAATCAGTAGTTTCTGTTACGGACCTAGAAAACTGCTGAAACTATAATTCATTCTCATTCTGTCATCCCTGCCTCCTCCACCCCCGCCCCCATCCCTGCCTCTGTCTCCTGAGACAAGGTCTCACTGTGGAGTTCAGGCTGCCTTCAAACTCTGTAGCCCAGGCTGGCCTTGATACCCTTCTTTTTTTGGTGCCAGGGGTTGAACTCACAACCCTTTGCTGGCCAGGCAAGTGCTTGTGCCACTGTGCTAAATCCCTGGGCCCTCCAGGCTGGCCTTGAATTGGAGCTCCTTCTGCCTCAGCCTCCTGCATGCTGGGATTACAGGTGTGAACCACCATGCCCGAATGAAGTCAGCACTTTTTTTATCTAGCTCAAAGAGGAAGAATACAGCCAAATTAGTGATGATAAAGCTTATTGGATTAAAAAGGAAAATAAAATTTTATCTATGGTAATGGGAAACACGCAATTGATAGGAAAATACAACTTAATGGAAAAACTAGTATTTCTGAAAGGTTGCCACATCAGAGACCTTAATTCAACTGTTGCTGAATAGAGGGGCTAGGAGGGCAGATGTAGAGATGCACACTTGTGACAGGGAAATGGAAAAATAGATGGGACCCAGGGAGGAACCCTGTTCTCCCCACCCCCACCTCAGCCCCCGCTGCGGTGGAGACACACAGGGGTCAGGGCACACCGTGAAGACGGGCATGAAGAGGTGGCCGCTGACATCTGAATGGCATGCAGCGCTTTCTAGAACACGAGAGCTCAGCATTTGCCGGCAGCTCCGTGTTTCCAAGAGGATGGCCCCACTGGGCTCTGAGCGAGCATCCACGAGCATCACTGAGGACAGACTCAGGCCTTGTGCAAGACTCTGAGGGCCCTTTGAGCCTCCTGGAACAGTGTGACTGACAGAATCCGCGCAAGCTGCAGCCTTTTCTCCAGCTGTACTCACAGTAGTTGCTTTCTTACAACCTCTGATGGGATCCTCTCTCATGTGTTCAGAGCTAAGGTTGTTGAGTGATGAATGGATGACGTGGTGACGTAGACCTTGTAGCTTATCTCTGGGCGGCAGTCACACACATTACTGAAAACATTGAAAGTCAGCAGAAGATGATGCAGTTGAGATCCCGTGTGTTCCTCATCTTCTCCCACAGCTGCTAGCTTGTCCCTGCCTCATCACTCCTCAGTTATCTGGAAGCTTCCTCCTTGCTTTTGAGTCTACATTCTCGCTTTGCATTACTCTCTCCTACGCCTATGAGTCCAACAGTGAAAGTAGTTCCTCCTGTGCCGGGGAAGTGAATGATCTCCTACCACACCTACAGGTGTGTTACTATACATACACAACCGTGAAATCTGTGACCCTGTATGGAGACCGAACTTGTCAGACACCATCTCCATAAAGCCACTGTTTCTCCCTTCCTCTTCCCCACCCCACCAGTTCCCCTGTTTCAAAACCAGGTGGAGATTGTTTTGCACTTGCCCGTGAAAACTACAACCATGGTCAGCCTGAAAGTGAGACCCAGGGGATAATAACCTTTGTCACAAAGGCTGGCAGTTCACATTCCCTCTTATCAACAAAATTGCTAAAAGGAAAAGTAGTGATTTGTTTTTTCCCTTCCTGCTAATTTCTCATTACAGTGCAATTAATGGACCACTTTTCTACCTCGTTCCACTCTGCCTCACAATTCAGCTTCGTAATTTAGCTCTGTATCTGTAATCTAAAGCATTTTTTACATGCCGCCTAAGGGTCGGTGACAGGACAGATTTTCCATCTTGTTTCTGTATGAAAAAGTGATGTTTGGAAATGAAATAAACCAACTCACTTGCCTCTGAAACACCTTTTATCACGAAGTATTTATTCAACAAAAATAATATTACAGTAAAAATGATACATATATGAAAATGAATGAAAATTTGCAATAATAGAAAAGATGTGTACAAAGAGACCAACATTCAGGTTATATAGTTCTAACAAACCTTAGTTGTATCAGTTTAACACTGATCAAACAAACCTAAAAGAGGAGGAAGTTAATGTTTTTTGGAACCTAAATATACACGCACACACGCACACACACACAGCTGTAAATTACTCTTCAATACCTCCAGTTTTGTTTGCATTACAGCAAATATTTTGATCCATTTAAAAAGTGATGCTTTTCATTTCTAGTAAGTGGAACTAGTATATATGCTCATCACAGTATTGGGGGGAGAAGGAAATAATCAGATTTATAGTCATGCAAATATTTTGAATCAACATTGACATTTTAAAACTATTAAAAATCTTTTCCATTGAAATTTTTGCACATTAGCTTCCCGAAATTCCTTTATAAGAATCTTGCATCTTGGATGTGTTCATGTGTTTCTTTGCCTAACACAATCTGGACCAGTAGTTACTTAACAGCTGGGCCTCAGGAAAACAAGGGAGCATCATTAGCACCTGCCACTGCGCTGTCTCGAATGAGCTGTATGGCTCTAGGCAACAGCCAGCTGCTTCTGGGTACTTGCAACCAGGTAGAGGGCCTTTTCTCAGAGGCCGCTTCTGGCTGTCACATTGCCATTCCATAATTACCAGTTCCTTTGTTTGAACCAAGTCCTTTTTTATAGTACACAATTATCATTACCCCATGAGTGAGGAACATTGTGTTATTTGTGAATTTTGGAACCAGTCCAATTATTTTATAATCAGTGGTGTATTAAGAGTGGGATTTTTCCTGCATGCTAAGGCCATATATGGTCACATACAGAGGTGTTCGATTCCAATGGAAAATTATAAGTATCTGAACATAATTTTTAGGTTTTTTTGAAAAGTCCAAGAAATTTGTTTTCATAATCCCTGCCTTTTAAATGCCTGGGTTTTGTTGTTGTTGTTGTTGCTTTGTTTTCTGTCTTCCCCTTCCCCCCCTTGGATCAGTTACTTAATCATGCTTCTGATTGGTTTCTGTTAGTTACAGTTAAGGACGATAGTTAATCCAGTTTTGAATTTAAAGCACTGGGCACTTTCTAGCTCTCCTGTCTTGATTTGGGCCTTTCCTATTTCATTGTAACACTTTTGAAGTGATGCCTACTGATTTTTTTCGAAAGAAGAGAAAATATGTTTCTATTATTATCACTGTCCTAAACTACGATACACAAAAGAATTGACTGCCGAATGTTCCAAATTGTTACATAATCAGTTCAGTTCCATCATGATGAGGTTCCTTAAGAATTTTTCTTTTATCAGATTTCCTTCATTCTCACCATAAATTTAGTAATACATAAAACAGTGCATCCTGTTTCAATCTCCACAGGCAAAAGCATCCAGTACCTCCAGTTCTGTATTTTTGATACAGTGCATTTTGATACAGTGCATCAAAAAATTGTGAAAACATACAAAGCTTATTGGTATGTCAAAATTACTTCATTGGACTTTATCATCAATCTGAGCCTCTTCCGAAACACTACATTTTTTAAAGTGTTAATTAAAGTTCTAGGGATTTAGAAACACTCTTGACTCCCACTGACTCAGTATCTGAGTGTGATTCTCTATGGAAGTTAGGGCAGTCAGGGCTGAGTTTTTTTACATATGCTAACCGAAGTATTCCAGGGTTTAGAAGGTACAGGCTTGGGAATTTTTAGATAGGATAAACAGTTAAAAGGCTACCCTTTCAAAGTTCATTTTTTGAAAATGTACTTTAGAACATTTTCATTTATGAAGGTTTATTGTGTAAATATGGCTTAGTTTATTTTTATAAAAATGGACATTACATTTATTGAATTTCAGTTCAAAAGAGATTCTAAGGCAATTCTACAGTTGAAAGCAAGAAAGAAAAGATACGTTTTCATGTTTTGCCTACTTGTGAAAAATAATGAAGTTCTACTAGAGATCTGTTCAATACTAATTTTTGTCTTTCAAACATTTCTCTTAATACTAAAAAATATATAAATCATTTACATAAAAGTAAATGCAAAAGAAGGCACAGCTGGTTATAGTGTGTATACAAGCATAGTTCAGCATAGGCAGAATTAAAGAAGAAAGCTTCACATCCTTATTAGTTATACTGAAAACATTAAGAAAAGTTCTTCACTGTCAACAGTGTTCAACACTTAGAACTAAGAGGATATAAAAACAAAACATTAAGATTCACTTAATGCAAAACAGATTTTCATATATACTTGAATATAAAAAGTTTTAAAAATGCTAACACAAATCTAAACTATCCATGTTATGAAAAGTGCAAACCAAATTAACAGAGGGTTTCACAATGTCCTTCTCATGACACAGGTAAACTAGCCCATGGGGACAAATTTGTTCCAAGAGTTAATGAGTCCTTCATGGTGGCCAGACGTCATCAGGATTTCTGAGAGCTCGAGGAGAGCAGTACTGGAGAAGCAGCTCTGTCCAGCCCAGGGATTGGCACTGGCATGTGACCATTGAGCAGTGTGGGGAACTGTGGGGGACAAAAGAGTTTGCAGATCATTATTCTTTTTTTTTTTTTTTTTAATTTTTTTTTTGTCTTTTTCTTTTTTACCGGTACTGGGGATTGAACTCACGACCACACACTTGCAAGGCAGGCACTTATGCCTGCTGAGCTAAATCCCCAGCCCCCTGCAGATTGTTATTATAAAGCCATTGGGAAGAACTCGGTTCCCTGTGTCCCTAGACAGCTCACATCGATTGGCTTTCTCATCCCCTCTGTTATAGAGGTCAGCTGCCAATCTGTTTTACAGAATAGCTCGAAGATTACTAGGGCAAATGGGCGGGCCAAGAAAATGCCTTTGGTTATTCTATATTCGTAGACTACTAGAAAAGAGTACCAAAGCACGCTCTAATACTGTTTTTAAACATCACAAGCTATTTAGAATTCTGCTTTGCATTTAGAAAAAATTTCTGAAAACCAGATTAATTTCTAACTCCATATTTTGAAATTTGCCATCAGTTTTCCCAAGTATTACAAAGATGTTTTTCTAATAACTTAAAAATTGGGAATGTTTTTATCTTAAGAGATTTTAAGTGCAATGAATATGGTTTTTGGGGAGTTGAAAGAGTATGCTTTCTTTGATAAATAACCAGATTTAATAGGCAGTGACAAAGTTTAAAATTGTTTCTGTAGTTGGCAAGTTGAGATGCTGGAAGATCAGCTCTAAAGGCATATGCTTTGATAACAAGTCTCAGACCTGAAGCATTATGTGTCAGCTGTACTCCCAACTGAACATGACTCATACAGGCCTCCTTTTCACACATGACTGCTTGCAGCTCAGTGTTTCTCATCAGCTGGGATGATACAGGTCAAAATCTCCTAGACTGTCTTTTAGTTTAATTCCTATTTAGGCCAAGTAAGTTAATATTAAACCTCACCACTAAATGCCAAACTGGCACAGGTTAGAAAGTACAACAAATATTTGTAAAATAAGTAAATACATTTTTGCAGTTATCAAACTATTTCAGCAACTTATATCTAGTGCTTTATTATCAAGGGTTATCTTGATACCAAGGAGCTATAAAGTCAGTTTCCTTCTTCCCATTTTACAAATGAGCAAACAGTTCAAGTAAGTTCCAAACAGCCAAAGATTGCAGCTAATAAGCAGCAGGAATGAGTTTGAATGTCTGACTGAAATCACTCTGTGCTAAACTGCCCAAGTTTCTTAACAGTTATTGGCAGAGGTAAGGTTTTTCTCTTTCCTGGCCTTTGGAATTCTTATTTCTTCAGGAATTTTATCGGCGACTACTATTTACATACAGCTTATGCCCTTGTACGTAAGCCCATTTGTGTGCTCCTAAGCACTGTTCCCACTGACCAAGGGAACCTGGAGGAATGCAAGCAGGTCTGGAATTTTCATTCTTTCACAAACACTATCACAGTGTTGTATCATCTCCTTTTTTGTATCATCTCCTTTTTTTGGCTTTTGCCCATCTTTTTGTGCTTTTAAGACAACCAGCTTCGGTTTTGTTAGTCTTCTCTGTGTTTTAAAATATATTATTGATTTCCGTCCTGGCTTTTCATTAGGTACACTCAGCTGTCAGTCTCCTGATTACGCTGGCTTCCTGGTGTGTCTCTTAGTCATCTTTATTGGCCCCTTTCCCACTACAGCCCTTAAGTTGCATCCCCCAACTTTTGTTTCTGCCTTCTTTTCTCCAGCACCGTAAAGTCACTGTCAGTGGTGGCAAGGAACACAAACTTGAATCGAGCCTCTACTGCTTCTTGGTGTGGTCTTGGGGCAGTCAGGTGGCACTTCTGTTCCTTGGTTCCTCATCATTAAAACACTGCTACTGGGAACACTAAATGAGATGCCAACAACAGTGGCCTAGAATTGTCTGCACACAGTTCGCCTCAGTAAATGTTAGCTACCCATCTCTAACCACTTAGCCACCTACGCGTGCATTTTCCTAATTTTCACTACCCCTGACTCCCTCAAGCCAAACTCAGAGTGCTCCTCTCAGTCTTCCTTCAGAGGTGTCTTCTACACCGTTCCTGTGTCCTGTGTGCTAACCTAAAAGATGACTGTCCCTTCAGTCTTTCAAGTGTAGTAATTTTCTGTCTTCCTGCTCTACTTTGTTATTTCTTATCCCTCGTATAAAAAGCTTTAAGGACGTTTACAGCAGATTAAAGGGAGGCGCAGTCCCAAGCACACTTTCCAAGGCCTGCAGCTGCTTTTCCGACCTAATCTCCTATCACCAAGTCCCTTCCCGAACAGACTTCCACAGTCACACCATCCAGATCTGTGAAGGAGTAAACTGTGCTGTCCTCTGATCAAAATCCTGTCCCTTCTCAGTGGCACTTGTCCCCAGGAACCAGTGTCTAGGCCCCAGCTAGTAAAGCGACTCTGTCCCCGGGGCTCCTAGCACACTGTTTACTCTTCTGTTCGGGTACTGTATATCTTGCTGCTGTCCCTCCCGCAGAGCACTGCAAATATTTGCTGGGTTAGATTTGTTGAACTAAAGAACACTTTCTCAGTTGAAAACTTTAAAGTTGGAGTGGAACAGCCAGCCTGTAGATAAGCTCAAAATACCAAACTATCCAGTTGAAACACATTTTACTTTATTTACAAATCAGGGTGGTGTATTTATACTTGGTACAATGTCTTCCGCATCCTTCTCTTTAAGAAGGCATTTCTTTGTCAGAAAGTATATCTCTTCCAGAAAGGCTAGTACCTGCCTTCTCTCTCTTTTAAAATTCTCCAATATCTGCTTTAACCTGCTATAATAATTTCATCAGGGCGTGTCTTGTGCAGAAATCTAGCTCTGTCCACTGTTAAGACATGAATTATGATCTACCTTTTCTAACATCACAACAGGAAACTTGCCAACATAACTGAAAATTTGCTGTAGGCCAAGTCTGTTTTTTCTTTCCACCAGCATATAGCATATGTCACAGGTTTTCTATTTAGAGATAAAATTATTTTTACTTGTTTATGAAATACAGTAGTAACCTGAATCCTGAATATCAGTTGTAATGTCTTAAAAGTCAGGAAACCCTACACCTTTTACCATGTTTGTTGTTTACCATCTTTAAAACTGCTGCCTCCGACTTTCGCCATGCTCTTCTGTGCTCTTTCTCATAGGAAGAGTAGTAATGTTTTAAAAGGTAGAAAAGTACTTTCTACCTTAGTCTGATGGATCCAACCACAAAAAGAAGGCCCTGGCCATGCAAACTGCCAGTCATCCAGCCTGGGTTGTATTCCCCCAGCTCCTTACATTGTCAGTGGCTCTTACATGCAGTAATTTACTCTGCAGAATTCCAAATGTAAGTTAGGAACTCCTCACTGTCTGCAGTGATCCTCAGAGTATGATCCTGAACCAAGGACATCACCAGCAACTTGAAATGTTTTATCACATCCTACCCAAGACCTAATGAACCAGAAAGTCTGGGGTAGAGTCCAGCAACCTATTTTACCCCGTCATCCTGCTGATTCTGTTCATGCTAACTTTAAGAACCACTGGGAATACATATGCCCCAACTCTCAGAGATACTGAAAATTATAAAATCACCGTTGGCATGAGCCACACTTACTGGTAGGAATACTGCACTAGAAGAGTGTAGTGTAATTCCAGTAGCTCCCCAGGGCTTTCTTAGAAGATCACCAGGCTCTGTACCAATCAGGTGGCAGAATTCCCAATAAAGAGGGTGCTGAAAGGCTCTGTTTATTACAGAAGCTCCATGTTGCAGTCCTATCCCAAGGAGTTAACTGTAACCACACAGTGCCTTTCTGCTCTACTTAAAACTAGAACACTGCTGCTCTAATCTTGAGGCTTTCAAGAAACGAGGTCTTTTGTCTCCTCTCCAAAGCATTAGTATTCCTATTCTAAAACTTTCCAAATACTACATTTGCTTGTTGCTCTTTGCATGCTCTGTCTAGATTTTGCTTCCCTGCTCAAGTTACAGTGGTTAAAAAATCAACACGTTGGCTGTGGATGACCACAGCTCAATTTCTTGTGATGGAAATAAGGACCAGGGAAGACAACAAAGCCTGATTACTCCAGGGATATTGTCACATCATGACACCTTACCCTAGCCCTGCTACGAAACCAGAGAGGCAAGATAGCAATCAAAACCTCTTTAGTGCCACCACTGTTCTGCTGAGACCCTAAATCCCAGCATGTCCACATGCTCCTGGCACAGAGGAGGTACTCAGCAAATACCTTAACAAGCAAAATGACCACCTCGGAAGATGGAGACTTGTTTTGTTTTGTTTTTTTTTTTTTAACACTTACCTTTTGTTCACCTCTCATCACAGATTCTCTGAAATGTGTTCATTTTGCCTGTCAACCGTAATTCTGAACACTTCTGTCCTAATCAATGTGTGGGGTGCTGGGAGACACCACTGTGGGCAGTATACAGTTCTGGTCCTTTAAGGCCCCACAGTCTAGTGGAGTTTGCCTGCCCTCCAGGCTGTCATAATGAAAAGTGCTAAATGCAAATAGTGAGGATGATTGGAGAGGCCGAGAAATGCAGCAGCCTTGAGGTGAGCCACACACTAAGGGCCTGCAGATGAGGGGAAGCAGTTTGCCTCATTCTGCCACTGAGCAACGCTTGGGTCTCTGAGAAACTACTGATGCCACACGATAGCTAGCCCTGCTACCGCAAGATCCAGCATACAAATGCATAATGTGCTCATCTAATGCAGAGTTCTGTGAGCTAAAACAGCCAAGCCTTCCTTATTTTTTAACTGTTTTTTTTTTATTAAAGAACAAGGAGAATTTGATTGACTTGCAGAATTATGCAGGCAAGTTTTCCATTCCAGCAAGGAGAAATTGTTAACTTTTTATTTTTCATTTCACCTCAAGTGAATCATGTGTGAACTGCAATACCTGCTAATTAGATTAATACTTTAAAGTCTTATAAGAGTTTTACTTAAAATTTTTTTTTACTTTTTTTTTTTTTTTGGTATCGGAGATCGAACAACTTTGCACTTGCTTGCCAGGCAGGCGCTTATGCTGCTGAGCTAAATCCCCAGGCCTAACAAAAATTTTTTCAAGTTTCATGTTTGTCTTAATAAATTTCCAGTTTTCATAATGAAATGAAAACATCTTGGACATTTACAAGAACTAACTGTTGCCCAGTGTGGTTGGTACATGCCTATAATCTCAGCTACTTGGAAGGCTGAGGCAGGAGGACTATGAGTTTGACATCAACCTGGACAATTTAGTGAGACCACATCACAACAAAATAAATTTAAGAAGACCTAACTATTCCATTTATGAATACCTGATGGGAGTCTTCCATTTCTGTCCCACTGAAAATTTCTTTCTGTAAAAGAGTGGGTATCCCCATTCTTACAAATTCTGGAAACTTAACATCTGAATCAAATATGCGGCGCGAACTGTTGGAGCCTTTGCAGGATTCAGGGAAAAGCCATCACTTGAGAGTTTCATTCCCAATGCTCACCTGGAACAGCGTGTTTGGCCCTTGCAGCCTGGCAGGACTCAATGGAGCGACTGGACTAAGGCTGCTCCAGAAATGTATGCTGGAGAGCAGCGGACTCGGGGTCAGAAGCAATCCATTTGGTGTCTGGGGAACAGAGCAGACAGACAGAGCTTGACAGAGGTTCACCCACTCTGGGGGGTGATCAGCAACACAGCACAGGGGCTCGGCGCACGGGCCATTGATGAAGCAGTGAGCTCACCATCTCAGGAAAACCCAGGCTGGGGCACTGTCCGTGGGGGTTTTGTTTTGTTTGGTTTTGTTTTCGAGGTCTCCCTGGGTAGTTCAGGCTGGTTTTGAACTCACTATGTAGCCCCGGCTGGCCTTGAACTCTCACAGTGATCCTCCTGCCTCAGCCTTCCAAGTGCTGGGATTACAGGCATGTGCCACCACACCCAGCAATGGTAATTTTCTCAGTGCTAATTTTATCAGCAGTGTAAATCAGGAAAGGGGTTTTCACAAGTTAACTTTCCCTGAAACATTCAGATGGGAAACTCCACAGTTGGTAACCACTGTTGTCCAAATGGTTTCACTCATTCCCCTTCCTTATCCCAGATTAAACAAAAGTTAGTGTACATGCACAAGAAGACCCTATAGAAGGACTTACTTTTTCTTTTCTAATTATTTTTTTAAATGGACATTTATGACTTGGGTTGTAAGTGCAGGCACACACCCATGTTTTTAAAAAGGCCTCTGCAGCTTCACTTTCCATTACGAAGGGTCCTTTATTTTTATTTTATTTTATTTATTTATTTTTTGGTATCAGGGAATTTACAGCCTCGTGCTTGCCAGGGAGGTGCGTATGCCACTGAGCTAAATCCCCAGCCCTAATGAAGGCCATTTAGTACCGGAGAATCTGCATTAAAATGCACTGCAGTGGCTTCCTGAGAAGCTGAGCTGGGTTTTCCAGATTTCACTGCCCATGCCTACTGTTGAGAAGGCATCACCCTGTCATGGGGCAGCGGGGGTTTTTCTTGTTGGGCTGGGTGTGAAGCCAGCTCTCTGGGTTTCCCCGGGGAATGCCAAGGCCTGCATTGGCTTGCACACCCCATAAGGCAGAAGAGACAACTCGCTCCAGCTCGTCAACCTGCACACTTACTCTCCTCGGCAGGGGCGAATGCCCTGGCCCAGGTGATTTTGCACCTTTGCTGGCTGGAAGGAGCCCCTCTGTGGATTTGTGATGTCAGTGAGGTGTTTTGTGTGACAAGAATCCTGTGGCAAAGGCAAAGATGCCAGGATTTCAGGTGGCATCATGGGTGGATGCCCAAGTGTTATTTCCCCCCAGGATTGGCTTCAGTAGCTTCATTAATTATCAAGAGTATTTGGGCTTAGACTCAAAGGTCTGGTCTGCTTGGGGACAGAGACAGACATCCCAAGGTCTGCAAGCCAGGAAGTGCTGAAAGGTAAACAGATGTGTGCTAAATCACGTGAGGCTTTCCTGCATACTAAATGACCTCCGAGGATACTAGGACAGTATGTCTCTGAATAAGCCCTTCCCTGTCCCAGGTCATCTCACAAGGATTCCAGGCCCCTCTGGCCTCCTGGCTAAGGATTAACAGCTCCCCATGAGATCTGCCAGGACTCCACACCCAGCACTGCTTACTAGCTAGGTAACCTTGGGCAAACTACCTAATCTCTCTATGCCTCAATTTCCCAATCTGTAAGATGGGGAGACTAAAAATGCCCACATTCCAGGGTTGCCGGGAGACTTATGTAAGGTGATGCTCTCTCTAAGCCTCTTATGTGCCTGTGTACAGAAAGTATTAGAAATTATATTCATACTACCTAGTAAATGTCCTTGAGTAAACAAGCTTGTAATTAAAAATGCACCTAACATGCTAAACATAATTCATCTATCCATGCATAAATTCTCAACTGTACCTAGAAAGGTAGTTCAAGTCCAAATCAGAGTCAGTGTTACTTCCCAGCTCGGTAGGCTGTGTTAGGTTCCAACCCTCAGACACAGGAGAGCTGAGAGCGCGTCACTCTGGAGCCAGGTTCCACTGGGTCACGGTAACATTTAAAGCCAGTGAAGGACTCAGAGTCTAAAGAGACAGTCATCTTAACCGCTGAACACAGCTACAGTCCTCTCATCCAAGGCCATAAATACACAGCCTTTCCTTTTTAATCCTGTGGGCAGTTGTGTATGATTTAGAATTTAGATTCCGTAGTCTAAAATGTGTATCTATATTTGGATTTTAGGTGTTTGCACATTTGTTGCCCAGGGATACGGGATGTACTCGGAATACTGTGGCCTTCTGTTTCTTGTGGTTAACATGTTTGAAATGTCTTCTGTGATATATGCAAATGAACACTGTGAAATGACTTCATCTGCTGTTCTCCCTCCCATGCCTTCCTCGCTGCAGCTTCTGTGGCCTCGAGAAGGAACTGTTGGGTTACTTTTTCAGGAGCAGTTTCCTGTCAGGGCTCCCTTGGGTTATCTTCAGGACAGTGTGAACTTACAAAACCTCTCCATGCTTCTGGAGCCAGGCAGAGGGCTACAGAACCAAGCCACAGGCAAAATCCACACTTCCTTTTCCTCCACCTACCATGCCAGTCTTAACAAATGGCCAGGGGTGCTCCGGGTCCCCCCGGCTGCCAGGGAAGGAGCCGCGCCCGAGGGCATGAGGCACCTGTTTCCAAGAGCAAAGCCCCCCGCATCCCATCAGTTCTTTTCCACTTAGCCCTGACTCTCCTAAGAAACCTGCCCGTGTGAGCGTTAGGGCAAGCTGGCCTCCTCTGGTGTGCCCCTGTTCATGCCACTGCGCCTGGGTCAGGCCCTGCAATCCTCCTCCCTCTACCCGCCCAAATGCCACCTCCTCAAAGGAGACTTTCCTGATCTCCCCTCCACCAGATGGGATTTCTCTTTTTTTGCTGAATCTTTAGAGAACACTGCATTACCATTTTCCTTCTTAACATTTAACGTGTTCCTCCTCCTGTTATGGTAATCTGAATGTCTTTCCGATCCTCTTTCTGCAGTCTTTAATGTGTCTGCTCATCTTTATTTCTTCTGGAGTACTCAGCCCCCTAAGTACTTGATGAGATGAAACCATGTGCAACCCTAGGTGTGTCCTGTCCCCTTGCTGGTCAGTGGCGGGACATCTCCACTTCAGGTTCCCTGTTTGTTCAAACTTGAATTCATCAGCTCCTTTCCACGTCCAGTGTTCAAGTCTTTTCTGTTGACTGTACCACCATTAATGTAGCCCATCAACAAATGCTAAGAGTGTCTGTTGGAGTGAGCTGGCTGATCAGCCCTCTGTCCCCTAAGCTGCTTCCCCCTGACCCTCAGCAGGAGCCATCCCTGTGTGCACACACACGCCTTCTTACAGCAAGGTCCCGAAGTCATAAAAACAGACACTGGTACTATCCTTTCTAGGTCTTGCAAAAAATTAACACAATAATTATTTGTTGACTGATCCTAATAAGGAATTTTTGCATCACCTGACATATACCTCTAGAAGCCATTGATTTCCCATCAAAAGAAGTTCGAATTCCTCAGGTATTTTTCAGGGTCCTCCATATGTATCACCCGAAATTATATATTGCCCCACTTCTCATCCATAACCTGTAAGCTCATGAGAATAGGAATTTCGTCTGTCCTGTTAACCTCTCTAGCAACTACCTAGCGATTCAATGGTCATCTCCCAAAAGTGGATTATTCTAAAAGGGTGACCACATGTGTGTGAACCTCACTGACTGAAGAAGATATGAATGAATTATCCTACAAGGAGTGATTGCTGACTACTTGATGACTTGAGATAGTAGTAAATCATTCAACCTTTAGGAAAAAGAAAAAAAAGTCAAACTGTTTATTGAGCTGGTTGTATAAACAGCTCTCATTTCAAACTCACATGGACGTCGATGACAGAATCCATGAAAGTGCCACTCTGGGGTTAAAAAAAAAAAATCTCAAAAGGTGACTTCATCTCTAAAAATCCCTAGAGTTGTAATTCAAATTAAGGCATGGTTTTAAGGACTTTACAAGAGGAACTGAATCCCACAGAAGTTGGTAGCACTGATCTTAGGACAAAGTGGAGAGGCTCCCTGAGGTTTTGGTAGGCACTCAAAGTGACGGGGAAGATCCAGGGATCTGAAGGATGAACAGGAGAGTCGAAAATGGGGCAAGGAGGAGACCCCAGGGTGGGAGTCAGGGGCAACCGTGACTGGAGGAACCTGGAACATTTGTCTAGAGTGACGTCTTCTACAAAGAGCCCCTGTGAGGCTATTCTCTGCTCTGCCCCATGTAGACAGCACACAGGAAGAGGTACAGAGTCAGGAGAAAGCTGGCCTCTTTCCCTCTGAGAAAAACAGCAAAAGATACAGCAAGATGAAAACCACAGCAGAGCCGGGCTGGGAGGTCCTCACCACACACCCACGTCGCTCCAGATCCCCACTTTCTGACGTTGGCTCCGAGCTCTCACCAGCCACTAGTAAAGGAGGGGGTTCAGCACGTGTGACCTCAGCACTGCCTGCCCTCCCTCAGCACTAAGCCAGCCTGCTGTTAGCAAAACACCTTGGGCCACACACCCCCAGACTCCCAGTGCCCGCACATATCTGAGCCCAGCACCTAATGCAGCACAAGTAAGACGAATATAGGTCTTGGCAAAAATAAGGCAATTCTAAATTCATTTCCTCTAATTAAGGTGAGCGGCGAGAGAGACTGAACAGAAAAGCCAAACAGGAAGAAGAGGGAGCCATGAGACCAAGATACAGGAGGCACCAAGACGTGGATGTTCCAGCTGGCACTTCTTGGGCTGCCTTGGTGCGTGGCCAGGGCCCTGGAGGGCTTGGCATGCTGGCTTCCCCCCCATCTCCGTGTCAGTAGCTTGTGCCAACACAGACACAGCCTTTCTTTGCAGTGACACTTAGATCCGACCTGGCAGCCGAGCCGCATCACTCCCTGGTGCCCGCTGGCTTTCGTGTTCACACTTTTTAGTTCCTGGTAGTCCCATGTTGAAGGGGCCTTTGAGTGACCATCCTGTCTCATCAGTAATCTTTATTTAGTACAAAGTCAAGGGCCTTTCATACGGTCCCTGGAGAGAACCAGCACTGTGCGACAACAGTCTGGCCAAGACTCTTGTATCCTCCCTGCTGTGTTTTGAGCTGGAAATGTCCCATTTTGGGGTTCTCATTTCCAGGCTGAGTCCCTTATAGTGCACCTTTCTTTGCTTCTAAAACTGGGCAGACTTTAGAGGAGCATCCTGTGGATTCCCAGATGCCGCATGCCTGCAGCTCCAGTGGGTGGCATGGGTCCCTGCCATTCAGGCTCACAGAGAAGGCAGACACCAAAATCGAAATGGGAGCTGGCCTTGGTCTGGACCAAGGCCAGCTCTATAAACCGACCAAGGAAGGTGCTCTCCCCAGGGGACCCCTCCAGTACCACCCTGAGCACCCAGCCTTTCACCAGGTGCACCTGTCACTGGGGCAGTCCTACCTCCCTCCTCTCCCATCCCCAAGGTCTGGGCTCTGTGTCACAGAACCCTGAGAAGCCATGGTAAAGAGCTGTGTTCGGCTGCTCTGCAAACCACTGACCACACTGCACTGGGGAACAGCTCTCTTTGTCCTGGTATGGGATGTGGATCTTCGGGGCAGCCTGCCTGTCCAGTGGAGTAACCCTGGACAAAAGGTTTCCCCTGGGTGCCTCGTTCCCCTGGCATGGTGACAGGACAGTGACGACCTTGCTACCATGGGGCTGCTGTGCAGATGTGGCTGGGCTCAGGCATGGGCTTTGCGAGGCCAGGACCTGTCACACAGGAGCTTGGGATTTGCCGCTGCTGCTCATGAGGATGAGGAGGATGAGGAGAAGGAGGAGGAGGAGGAGGAGGAGGAGGACACAGACACTTCCCGATCACCTATTGATGTGTCCAGCCTGAGGTCGCCAAGTGTAAGGTGCACAGACCCTGCCGGTGGGATGGAGCTGACTCCCACGGCACAGCTTTTATCTCAGGGCACCCTCACGACAGACAGCAGGGCCCACAGCCTCTCTCCTCAGAGGCTGGTGAGCGGAGCTGAATCCAAGTTCACAGCCCAAAAACCAAAACTCAGTCTCTGCCACTAAGCCACGTCCAGTACTCCAGAGCAAATGGAAAGGCAGTGGTTGCTGGCACCACTTCGCCTTTGCCCTGCAGCTGTCAGCTGGACCAGACATGGGCGCTGAGTGTTTTATTTTATTTTTTTATTTTTGGGTGTTTTAAAAAATTTATTTTCTTATTTTTTGGAGACAGGGTCCTACTAAGTCACTGAGTGACCTAGGCTGGGCTCCAGCTTGTGATCCTCCTGCTTCAGCCTCTGCTAGTACGTGGTGTTTTACTTCAGGGAAGAGGCTGCTGCCTTCTCCTAGGGTTAAGAATAAAAGAAAAAAAAAAACACTTCTGCACTACCCAAGTTTGTGCTCTGCTCCCTGGTGATGCACACTGGGCTTCCTTGCTGTCGACCTGCGTTTTGTGTTTGGTGTGGCCCTGGTGTTTCTTACTACAGAACAACAGGACAGCACCACACTCCCCACAGCAATGGTGGTGTCCATGGACTTCTATTTTGATAGGTGCTTCACTAAGTACCCCAGAGAGGCCCTGCCACAGCACATGCCTCAGGCATGATGGCTCTCCACTTGGCCTAGGAATTCACCCTATGTATGGATCTTCCCTGGTGGCTGTCCTGCTCCTCCCATCCCTCGGTCACCTTAGAAGCCCATCTGACACGGCCCTGTTGCAGGTATGCCCAGCCGCTGCCCTGGATGGAAAAGGAGCTTCCTTTGCCATTTACACCAGAGAACCGGGGTCCCACTGGGGCCATCCCTGGAAGGCCCGCAGGCAGTGGCCTTGGTGCGCTCCTCCTCCTTTTCGCTAAGCCTGCACACAGCACTGGCTCTTACCTGCGCGGTGAAGAAGGCGGGGGTGAGGGACCCCGAGGGGAGCGCTGGGCTGTTGAGGGCGATGGAGCCGAGGTCGGTGCCTGAGAGCACCAGCGGGGGTGCGGAGATTTCCAAGCCTTTGGGTTTTTTGCCTTTGGGGGGAAGAGACGGAGACTTGGTCTTGGAGCCCGATGACAGGTTCAAGGGCTCCAGGGAATCCGAGTCTTGGCCGCTGGCCTCCAGGAAGAGGCTTCTGTGTTCGGAGGGGAGGGGCGAGTTGGGGGACAGGGACGGGGACCGAGAGGAGGAGGGCGACGCGGAAGAAACGCTGGCGGTGTTTGGCAACATTAAAGAGGAGATCTTGGCGGAGACGGACGAGGCCAGGAAGGCGGAGGCCGCGGCGGCCTCGGAGGTGGAGGGCAGGGACACCACGGGCCTGGTGGTGTGCTTGTTGCTTTTATTGGTCACAAACCTGATCACAGTCCGGACTTCTTCCACCGGGGGGCTGTCTTCGAGGGGCTCCTCCAGCTTCTCCGTCTTGATGGCCTTGAAGGCCTCCGGGGGGTTCTGCAGGGAGTTGATGGTGAAGGCCGAGTACAGGCCCGAGTGGATGTACTCGTTCCGGCTCGTGCTCTTGAGGGCGGACAAGCCGTGCTTGTCGGGGGCCACCTTACAGTCGCTGTCCTGCAGCAAAAGGCTCTCCCGGCTGATCTCCACCGTGTGAGGATCCATTTTCAGGATCTCGGGGAAAGAGACGAACTTGTACACAAACTTCTGCCCAATCACCTTCTTGATGATGTTCTGCGAATACAAGAAGAGACATTTAAAGTGTAAGCCCCCGGACAGTGGACAGCGTGGTGGACGCTGCTGGCAGGAGCAGAGACGGTCCCCACGGGCGCACGCAGGGGCACAGTGACACAGGCTGAAGCAGCCAGGCTGAAGGACTGGACTTGCATTCGGCTCTGCCAAGCAGCAGGGGTGAGGCCTTTGGCAAACCGATGGCCACTTGCACAAGGATTATTATTCCTAATAATATAGTACAGTCGCCGTGTCATAAGCTGGTACTCTATAGCTGGCATTTTCATATTTTGCTTTCCACAATCTGTATAGCAATTCTAGGAGGATAAATTGTTATTCCCAGCTTAAAAACTAAGAGGGTTGGGGGTGTAGCTCCATGATAGAGCAACTGCTTGACATGCCCAAGGCCTGGATTTGATCCTAAGTACACCCAATTGATCAGTCAACCAGTCAATAAATTTAAATAGGGAGGGAGGAAGAGAAGGAAAGAACCAAAGAAAGAAACAGAAAGAAGAGATGACCTTAGAGCGCTTAAATAACCTCTAGAGCCGCCCGGCAGGCAAGGGGTAAGAAGGCGTTTGCTGAGCCATATTCCACATCGTCTCGCCTACCCAGTGAGGCGCAACAATGTGATGCGATCCGAATGCGAAAGTGATGCGGAAATGCCCGGGACCATCACCAAATGCCACAGCGTTTTCCTAAGTCATGCAGCCATTTTTTCCTTTCTCAGTTTCTGCCAAGGGAGCCACAGGAGGAAAAAACAAACTGTCTACTTGGATATTTATGACATCTGTGTAGTATTTTCAGTAGCTGGTATCTGCTTCTGGCTGAGGCCGTAGTCCATAAATGTTAGGGATGTAAAGAAAACACCATGATCCCTGCGAATGCTGCCCCGGTGCTTCAGAAACGGGATTTTCTGGGCAGGGCTGGCCTCTCCTTGTGGAATATACCACAGCCCGTATGTCAGATGCTTGCTCCTGCCAAGCTCTGCCGCTGACTTAAGGTCCCCGGTGCTGGAGGGGACAAATGTGGCCATCACCACAGCACCTGGGGACAGGACTCTGAACATCTCCTTATAAACTGTTCCTGTTACAAGATGAGCATAAATGAGGATAAAACCAAAATCCTTCAGGCAGGAAGCACTTCAGAAGTATCTTTCTGAACCAAGCAAGCCACCTCACAGGATCCCCACACCCACCCTGCCCGGGCCACAAGGCACCACCTTTGCACCTGCAAAGGCAAACAACTTCGAGGTTCAGAGGTCACTGCCCCAGAACTTCCAGGAGCGACTGGCTCTGAAGCCTGAGCTTTCTCACGCCTCCTTAAAAGTGTGGAGGAACAAAAGCAAAGAATCCCACACACACTAGGAGTAAAATGTCATTCAATTTAATATGTGACCACGTTTTGGGTCTAAACATAAGCAATGTCAGGTATTCCCCCACCTCAGCACACCATCCCATACATTACAGCGTTCAGGTTTACCTCTTGCCCTTTAAATGGCAGAAAGGAATGGCACTCTGACCACCTCACTGAGATTTTCCAGAAGAAACTCTTTGGGGCAGAGATCTAAGGGAGGGACACACAAGGTCCCCGCCCAACAGGAAATCCTAGTCTTCACGGCCCCAGAGAAACCTTGCCCAGCCCGAGCCCAGACATGGGACCAGGTTCAAAGCTTAACATTCACAGCAGCCAGCATGGCTCAGGGCTCAGGCCTGCCACTCTCTGCCACCAAATCCCGTTCCTCGAGCTGATCTCAGTCTCACACCCACACTGGCAAACCTGAGGAGAAACTGAAAAGTTCCACCTGGGCTTTTGTTTGGCAGCGTCTCTGCCAAGTACACACAGGCCTGGGTAGAGAATGTGCCAGGGAAAATCAGCTCCCAGTAGGGGAAGATTAAACAAATATGGGCGTCCCTGGGCCCACCTGACCCGGAGTCGGACCCAGCTATCACAGTGCGAATGCTTCCCCTGCTAAAACTCTAGGGTATTTTTGTTTTTACCTCACAGTATTTTCGTCCCCCAGGGAAAACTTTTATTTTTTTTTCCTTATCCAGCTGGAAACCTCATCAAAACTGACTGAACATTTTTTTAAAGCCTAAATAATTATACAGAAGAAAGGAAAACAGAACCTGGAGACTTTGAATTATTACTTTTGGCAGATCTTAGGAGCTAGTTTTTTTTTTTTTTTCTCTCTTAAAAAAAACTTTAATTTTATTACAGGCTCAGAACATCATGTCTGAGGCAGGATTATATTCCTGAACAAACCAAGCAATAATTTAGGGCTGTGATACATGTGATTTTAAAAAATGTCTCTCCTCCTTAAATAATGGTCAGGAATGGAAAGGCAGTCAGATACAGAGCTCCCAGGCTTTACTCAGTGAAAAAGAACATAAGGAACATCCAGGTATCCACCTCAGGAAAACGGCTTCACAGCTGTGGTGGGCTCCTACCAAGGAAAAATACCAGCCTCGGAGAGGAAGGAAGCCCCGTACCCAGGGCAGCACGGATGCACCTAGAGTACGTGCTAAGTGAAAGCAGCCAGATACAGAATCATAAAGGCCACATTTTATATGACTCTATTTATAGGAAATGTTCAGATAAGCAAAACTCACACATAGTAGAGTCTGGTAACCTAAGGTTGGGCGTGGGGGTGATGGCTGAAAAGGTAGGGTGTTTCTTTTTTTGGGTAATGAAAATGTTCTAAAATCAGTCATGGGGATGGATGGATGGATGGATGGCTCTGAATGTGAGCAAAGCCACTGAACTGAGTATTTTAAATAGGTGAATTGTATGGTGAGTGATTTACACAGGGATTATGAACAGGAGTGGTAGCACACGCCTATAATCACAGCTACTCAGTACGCCGAGGCAGGAAGATCGCAATTCAAGTCCAGCCTGGGTAACTTGGCAAGACTCTGTCTCAAAATAAGAGGAAATAGAAAGGGCTACAGCTGTGCTCACTGCTCCCGGGGTTCAATCCCCAGAACCCCAACCCCCCCCCAATACCCTACAAAGTCTTCTATGTGTTTTCCCTGTTCCCAAGGAAGACAGCAGGTGTTTTCTACAGACAGACACTGAGCGCCATCAGGGCTAACCCTCCTCATGCAGACAGACAGGAGGCACAGGGAAGGGCTGCGTTGGCCACTCTGAGAAGCCTCCAGGGGAAGTTCAGGCAGGGATGGGGTGGCAGCCTAAAGGAGGAAGCAGCTAAAGCCTTGTACACGGGGCAGCTAGGTGACATCCAAGCAGTTGGCCCTTCTCCCTGTGGTCACTACTGAGGGGGACAGAAGTCAGCTCAGGACCCAGGAAGGGAGGGCTCTTACTATGATAAGTGACAAAGATATTTAGGAACAGTGTGTTTCTGCCCCTTCCATCCCAGACTCCCAAGTATTTGTTGCTTCCGGTTGCCTGGTAACCTAACGAATGTTAGGTTGGCCTGCAGAGCGGCACAGTGACTCTTGATGTGATAGATGGTCACACACATCTGCCTCCTTCACGCATGCAGGACCAGCCTCTCTGTCATCTCCATGGAATGTGGGCTGGAGACCAGCCCCTATTCGTCACCCAGTTTCCCGGTCAGCCACAGGTGGCGAGGTCCGCACCCACGACAGACCCCAGGAAACAGGACAGTGGATTCCAGGATGAGTGCACTGTCACCCTATCCATGTTGTCATCTGATAATGCAGGCGTCTCCAGTACAGGATCATGGCATTCTGGGGCCCGGGGCCCTTTCCAACTCTGTTCCCAGGAGAGGATCCCACAGTTATTTCATCCCAAAAGACAGAAAACAGTGTGGTCTGCTGCTCTGACAGGCCACAGGTGCTCCCGGAAGAACAGGCATGCCCATGTGTGTGGTTAAACACACTTGTGTGTGCATGCATGTGCTCATACACACACAGTCCATGCTGCCGGCTGTCTTTCAAGAGGGAAAAGGAGCCTGCGTAAGGAACCTGAAACACACCGCCCCAAACCTGCTCACAGCCCTTATAGTATAAAATGGCACGGTATCTACATCCGTCTCTTATACTTCAGGGCCATCTCAGGTTCTTTAGAACGCCTCATACAATATAAATGCTACAAAGAGTCCTACTCTATTTATGGAATAATGATAAGGAATAAAAATCAGGATTGATGCAATGTTTTTTCCCCCAAATGTTTCCAATCCAAAGTTGCACCAAGTAGCTGAGAAATGTTTCTATTAGGTTCTATAATTTTTTTTAAAAAAATTAAATGCAGAACTAGGTCATGAAGAGATGCTTGTGGAATTAGATTTCCCTTCACTTCATAATTATTTGATGTTAAATTGATACCAAAACAGGGGCTGGGGATTTAGCTCAGCAGCATAAGCACCTGCCTTGCAAGCAGCCAGTCATGAGTTCAATCCCCGGTACCGATAAAAAAAAAATTGATATCAAAACAACTTAACGAAATGTTCGTTGCTTGAATGAGTATAACTAACCACAGGGAGAAGCAACCTGCAGGGAAAGCAAGAGGTTGCACCCAAACAGATGCAGCTTTCGCCAGGCTGGCGAAAGCTCTGCGTGTTGGTGAGATTCACACATGCTTTTCTGCTGACATCTTTAAACTGAGCTCTTGTAGATGCTGGGGCCATATGCACATCTCTGCAGCCTACAAGCTCACACCTCCCTGAGAGCTTAGTAAAGCAGAAGGTCACCTGCCCACCGGCTCAGCAAACATGTCCCCATGTGTCTGTCCATCTGTGCTGGTCAGCTGGACCTCAGGCCGTGCGCCTGGCTTTCCTCATCCACACTTCTCATCCACTCCCCCATCTCCTCCCCAGGAGGAACTAGATCTTCAGGGGGTCCCCCAGGACTCAGCTCCCATTCCCTCGATGCACTACCATGCAAGGGCTCCCCGGAATCACAAGCTGCCTGCACCCTGACCCTACCCCCCATTCTCACAACTAAAAAAGATCAGCAGTTCGGAAAGAGGGGACAAAAGCTCTTTGGGAGGTCCTACCTGACCTGTGCTGGCAGTAGGGC